AAATGATCTCGTCAGACAGAAGAAACTGTGGGAAAGAGGCCCAAACAGGAATGTAATGGGTTTGAAAACATCAAATCCACTGTTAAAAAAATCTTAACATAGCACAAATAACAAAGCCTATACGGCATTCTAAGATGTAAATACCACCACCATCCATTGACCTAACAAGTCAAGGTTAGGCCATAAACAATCTCTTGTTTATGTCTCATAAACTCCAAGAAAATCTGTCTCAAACGCCAAAGAATATCAATAAAAATTCTTCCGGAATTCATGAAAAACAGTACGAACAGTACGAAACTGGTTTTTTCACTGACTTCAAGCTCAAACCAATCCAATGGTCAAGTCATCCCACATTGTCAAATTCAAGCATCGAAAACATTAAGTTTGATTAAATCACATCTATTCCATCCATGAATCACAAATTTACACTGTTGGCTCATAATGTTTTCAATGAAATTATTGAAAACTTAAAAATTTTCAAATACAACAACAACATCAAGCCTTTTATCCACTACGTTGGGCGGCTACATGATCCTTTTTTCTCCATTGTGTCCAATTAAAAGTCAATTTCTTGTTTAAATACTTACTAAATAAAGGTCATCCTAAATTTTCTAACCAAGTCTTTTTAGGTCTACCCCACCTTTTCGTAACATAAGGTCAAATCTAATACCTCTTACTCTCCAACCGGGATCATCGGAAGGCCGCCAGTTTTATGTGACCCAAACCATCTTAAGGCGACTCTCTCTTTTAATCTTATCTTCTACTGGAGCTACTCCAACGTTTTCACGCATATGCTTCATTTTCGATATCCCTATCTATAAGGGTAAACCACTTCATCCACCTGAGCATTCCTCATCTCTAGCCACCACTTAATTTTAGTATTATGCTTCTCTTTTAATGGCCAAACTTCGGCACCATAAAAGCATTTGCAGGCCTCAACTTACCATCTTATAGAATTTTCCCTAAGTTTGACGGCGTAACATTTCTATCACATAACAAAAGCCCAGATGCATTCCTCCAACTTCAACAATCCAACTTGAATTCTACTGATATATCCCCATCTAAATTTCACCATCACTATCTGAACAATTAGATCCAAGATATCTAAATGTGACTTCTTATTAAATGACTTGATCGCCCAGTCACAAAAATCCCCTCACTAGGTCTATTTACTACTAAAATTACACTCCCATAATATTCCGCT